CCCAAATATACTCGGGCTCGTATCGCTGGATTGTTAAATAAATGCTAACGATGACCAAATTGTAGTACAATTAACTTTATTGTACAACAAACAATTTACAATACTTGCTAATACAGTAAAAACACTTTACAATACTTGTTAAAGCAATAACAACGCTTTACTACTTGTTAACACAATTAAACTTATAGCTTGCTTATTCGCAACTCAATTCTCCGCTCACTTTACTTGTAGCTTGCTGACTTGTAACTCGTAACTAACTCACCTCGCGGTGGCGGCGCCCTTATATACCTGCGCTGGCACTCATGGCAACTCTAGAACATTCTGAAGTTTATCGCTCATTCTCTTTCTCTCGCTGTTCGCAGTGTTCATCCAACTTGACGTTTCTCTTTGTGGAACATTCTACGTCATTCTTCGAACATTCTGCCTATTTCTCGTTGTTCGCTTTGTGTTGCCGCAGTATTCGCCACACTGCCCTCCACCTAAGTCTGATCGTCCCGATCAGACACACTTGCCGCTCCAACCGCTGCAAGTCTTTCCAAGTGGACCACTTTCATCTTGGTCCTCGGTCTCCCCATTGTCTGAATTTGATGCACTGCGTCTTTCAGCCGTTTGTCAATCTTCAACGGATCTTTCCAGTCAAGTCTTTGCTTGGAGGTAAAGCTTTGCTTCTGCTGCGACATGTACAACCACAATGCGTTACTGGACATTGCTTCCAGCTTATCTCCGGGAGTGCACCATCTCACATGGTCGTGCTTCTGCCGGCCACTGGTGGTGACCAGACCATGTCTCTTCTCGTGGGCACCCTTTTCGCCAGATCTATGCCGCATCCTCTGTCCATGACACCCAGACTCCCGCCTTCGTGCTGCACTGCCTTTAGCACATCTTGCTACATCCGGATCCTTACGCTGAAGCTTCCGCCGTCGTTTCGTATCTCACTCTTCCGCCGATGCTAACTTCATTGACCGGACATGTATAATCTCACCCTTGGCTTCCGGCTTAACTGCTCGCTTTTGCCGACCACCTTTTTCAGGACACTTCAAACCGCGCCTACTGCTACCACAGCCGCTTCCATTTCCGGCCACCGGCGTATCACCATTGCAACGTGGTTCAGTGGCTTTCCTCCTGCCGGAAACACTGCCTGGCTCGCCATGACCACTTCCTTGTTGCGACCTCTTGTTCACTGAGCTGGCGGAACCGTCACGCTTTTCCTGTATCGGTGAACCACTTCCTTCTCCTGACGAAACCATTTCGTCTCCATCACTGTCAACCTCTTCCCAACTAACTACTTCCTTTTCTGGTGGAATCTTCGGCACTTCCTCTAAGACCAACCGTCTGCTGAAGCACTGGTTGTCGTAACCAACCCTAAGTGGCACTTTCCTGTCGCCATAGGTTAGGATCATTCCCTGGAGGTCAATCTTCATGCCTTGCCCAAGTAGGAAATCCACGCCGATGATGACTTCATCCACAATGTCTGCGACAATAAACTTCGTGTACGAGGCCAACCCGTCGATTATTACCTCGCATAGTACTTCTCCTAGCACTTGGGTTCGCTCACCAGTTGCAGTCTGCAGCTTTGCTCCAGGTAGTGGCTTCACATAAAAAGTAGTCACATCCGGTCGAATAATGGACTGGGACGCTCCAGTATCCACTGTCAGCACTCGCTCCTGCCCATTCACACATCCACCAATAGTGAGGTTGCTCGCATTCCGGCCAATTTGTGAGACGGAGATTATGGGCCCTTCAACTTCTGGAGCCAGCTCGCGGCCCTTCCTGCTGGCACGTTTTAGTTTAACGACTGATTTGAGTTGGATTCGTCTCCCTCAGCCCTGCGTTTGCGTCCTGCTGAATGGTTGAGCCCACTGGAACTTGCGCTGCAATCGCGGGCTAAGTGGCCTGGTTTTCCGCAATTAAAGCATTTCCTAGCACCATCCTTTCTCTCGGTTGCACCAGGAGTATTCTTCTCTGCCATCGACTTGAGTGTTTTCAGGATCTCGTTCATCACGTCAGGTGTCTCCACCTCTACTCGATGGGCTTTGTAGGCTGGTCTACTTAGGAGCGCCGCCGTTTCACGTGTCTGAGCATACGAGACCGTTTCAGAAAATGGCTTTGGATTTGCATACGTCTCGCGCTTGGTATACATGTCTCGCATTCCGTTGATGAACCTCTGGATCTTTACCCTTTCAAGGTGTTCACCAGATGCGTCTCCAATAGCCAAGTGAGCCAGCCTCTCGATCTCCGAAGCGAATTCTTGTAGAGTCTCATTGGCTTTTTGGCAGCGATTCTCCAGCTCCATCTGGTAAATCTGTCTCCTGTGCTCGCTACCATAACGTCTTTCCACTGCACCCATTAACGCATCGTAACTGTTCCTTTCACAGTCGGGAATAGTCTGCAAGATTTCTGCTGCAGGTCCTTTTAATGCAACGAACAGTGCAGCGGATTTATCCTCCATGCTCCAGTGATTTGCTGTAGCTGTCTTCTCAAACTGGAGCTTAAAGACTTGGAAAGGAATCGTGCCGTCAAAGGATGGAGTCTTTACCTTGGGCGCGCTGGTCGAAGAAGGTGGGCGATTCAACTGCATATCTCGGAGGCGACCTTCCAACTCTTCTACCTTAGCCTCGACTTTATCCTGTCTATCCTTGATTTGTTCGTTATCTCTAGCCAAATTCTCCTGCAGTTGTATAATCTTTGCATCCTGGACTTCCAGCAACTGTGATACGTGTGTCTTCTGTGCCTGTAGCTGCGACGAAATATCTGACAACTGTGTTTGCATCGGAGATGACATCTGTGACATGGCAGCCAATAACGTGTTCATGTCCATAGCCGCTGATGAACTTGGAGACTTTTGCTGTTCTTCAATCTTCCCGGATGTCTGCTGCACATCCTTCGACGAACAAGCAGCCTCATCCTTCTGTTCGTCCTTTGCGGATGCATCGTCGGATTTACCCTGGAAGTCGTATTTGTCCACGTCGATGCCTTCAGCTTCCATAGCCTCCCGCAAACGGGATAATAATTCCACTTTTCTTCCGGAGGTGGCCAAATTACGCTTTTCCAACTCCTGTTTCAGTTCCTCAATATTTAAGTCCTGAATTTTCGCCATTTTCAGTAGTTTATCCTTCGGGATTTATTTAACAATCCCACTTCTGACACCAATTGTTACGATTATCCT